ATACAGAAAGAGAGTTGGGAAAAGAGGGGCTGTTGGCGGTCTTAGAGTATGATCTTAGACCATTTTTGCATGTATTCAGATGCCTTTCTACTAATGTAGTGACGAGCTGACTGAGTTTTACACCACTAGTCCTACTAACTATCTTCAACATCATTCTCAGGATGGTATAGTCCTTTTTCAGTAACCCAGGAGAGACTAATGAGGAGCAATAAAGTAGAATAGGTAAGATACGAGAGTTGACAAATTGTGAAAGCGAGATTGGGTAATTCCAGATAGTCTAATTTTTTTAATGTAGTAGGTTAGACGAAACACTTTCTTAGAAATCGTTAGGATATGAGATGACCAAATAAGGTTGGAAGATAGAACTAGTCTGAGGTATTTTGCATTAGACTTAGTTTCAGTTTTAGTTCCCTCAATGCTACAGGCTTCATGAGTACTTACTAGTATTTGTAGATCTCGTTTATGCCTAAAGGAGAAGCCAATAGTCTGGCATTTTGAGGGATTCAGTATGAGGCCATTTAGTTTAGACCACTGACTGATATCCGACAGGAAGCTATGTAATTTGAAGCAGTCTGACTGAGACTTAACGGAAGGGTCATATTCAGGTCATATAATTGATACAATTCTTTTGATTCGATTTCAGGAATTCATTTTTACGGAACATTCGTTCCACATCTCAAATTTGCATGAGACGGGAGGTAAATCGAGAGAAACACTTCGATAGCCATGTTTAGTGAAACATCAAGTGTTTTACATAATAACGTGAATTTCTTTCAAATAATTTTCAAAACACGAAACATGATAATAAATAAACAATTACTCCCTTGTGTCCGGAGTGGAACATGGGGCTACAGTAACATATCTCCACTTGGTTCTTTTTTCTGATGTCCTCTTTAGCTGGGTTCACAATTACCCATAGTCTGTCATCTCCCTTTCGTACGACCTGCTCCATGTCACCCTAAGACGTCCCACTCGTCACTTCCCATTACGATTCTATTCGAGTGATGACATGGAACGCCGTGTCATTTGACAGTTTCCTCAGCGTATGCCCAATATATCTCCATTTTCTGTTACATATTTTTTGAGCAATGGACTCTTCGATGGTTCTTTACACTGCACAATTTCTTGTTACTAATTCTTCCTGGCAACCGTTGATAAAAGTCGGCAACGAGCTGTTGAAAATTCTTTCACTGACACACTCAGTTTCTGAAAACATGAAACATGAGTAGTGTAAGTGGTAATTAAGGGATCTCGAATTGTTCAGCAATATTTGCTACCTTCATATACATTTAGGATATTAAAGATGTATGTTTCCCCGTACAACTTTGTTGGCTAGCTATTCTACCAAGTTGGTAGCACTGCAATGCGAAACCCCAGGGTTCATTTATGTGGATTTGTCCTCGTCAAGCTCAGAAAGTGTTACTTTTAGACAGTACACACAACAGACAGAATTTTGTACCAGATATTTAAATGAGACTTTTATTTTGTTTTAGAGTAAATTAAGGATGTCAAAATTACTTAAGAAACACATCCCACCCCTTCTTTATCTTGAATCGACAATAGAATATAGATAAAGTGCTAGTACAGAATTTTAGTTTAAAAATCAGTCTAAACGAAGAATATTTTTCTACCAAATCCTCTTCAGATTCTTATAGCTAAAAAATAAAATTTTTACTGCTAATACAATAACGACCAGGTATACAGTGGATAGATCTTCCCGTAAAATAGACTATTTATAGGGTAACAGAATAGATAGTGTTTGTGTGACAGAAGTAGTGAGTTGAATGCAAATACAAAATGATGTTAAACGGATAAAAATGAAGATCAGGTACAATTAATTCATATGATATCGAGCAGGAAAATCAATGTTAGTTCAATATTGTGAAAGGTGTCTAGTGAAGGAATGTTGCATCGATATTATACATTAAACAGGTGATTGTGTAGCTATAGGATAGGAAGCGTACTGGAATGAACGGTATTCATTATAAATCATTGTTGTCAGGAATTAGTTTGTAGGTATGTGATTTGTTTCAAGTTTGACCACGGATTGATATCAGTTAGAGAACTGTTGAAAGCCAGGAAATACTGGACAGCTGCTTCACTCTAGTCTGAGACCCATCTCACTACACATCCATGACTTCTGCAGATATCAAAACAGGGGACTGGGTGCGTAATGCAGTTCTAGTGAAGAACAAACTCCAGTGGGGTCCACCAATTCAGAGGTGAAAGCGGACACCTGCCGATGACATTGGCTTACGATGTGACTATATATCACCAACAAGCGGAAGTTAGAGTTCATGGCTAAATAGTATACGTGCAAGCCTCGTAAACTAATGGTCCTGGATTCGATCCCCAGTCGGATCAATGATGTGTTCAGGTGAAGGGCTTCAACCGAGGCCGATACTGTTGTCCAGTACCCCATTGTTTTCAATAATTCTCTAAGTGATATCAGTCGATAATCAAACTTGAAATTAAACACTGTGACCGAAAAATGTTCAGACAAAAGGAAGGAGAAATTAGTGTAATGAAAGAAGACGAAGGAAGCTTCATGCAGAGGAGAGTTATTTTTAGTTCAAGATTGGCCGTAGTAGAACCGTCTGAATTTGCTTTTTTGAACTACAAAGTTCTGTTCTGGTCGATCTTAATACAATGGCTTTAGCTATATTTGGGTGAACTTCGCAAGATGATATCTTTGTAATGTAGTGTATTATCTTGAAGGCTGTGTTGGCTTCAATGTGATCTCGTGCGTTTACCAGGGATAATAAGGCTGAACTTTCAATACATATAATTTCAGGCTTTCTGAACTGGGATGACAAATGTTTTCGAATTTGTTGACAAACTTGCCTAATCGTCCAATTAAAAATCTACCCACCACATACCTAGCTATTATTACAGTGATAAAAAATACTCTGATAGTACTATTGAACATTAAAAAAAAATACTCTAAAACATAATTGTCCAAGAATTTATGTGTGTATATCCTGATCGGTTTATCCGAGATTATATAAAAGCATAGAAATCCATAAAATCATCTTAAAAGCTGCAAAAACGCCAGTTTACTTCAGTTTATCATTTAAACGGGAATATGTCCAAGAAGCAGTAAAATTCAGACCCATGAAAGCTATAAAAAGGACCTATTATGCTGCAACAGTCGTATTCCTCGACATATTCAAGGGAGTGCTTCCACAATTTGAAAAATACTGAATGCCAGTTATCGACAGTTCTAACTTAAGATATCAATTTCTTAGTTATTACTATAGTCAAAGCTATCTTTTTGCAGTATCAAAACAAGTGTTTCACTTCTGCCCTAATTCCTTTCACTATGATTATTATTTGTTGTGTAATCCTCTGATATAAATACCTCCTATCCCTGACACCTGGATGTTTATTATGGTGAAGTGATTGAGCATTAATCCATTACCATCTTAGCTTTCAGTCTGTTATACCCTTTCACCACTTTGCACAATTTAACTAGACTTCTAAGACACTCACTCGTTTTTTTGTAAACATATATATGTCATTGTTCCCTTGGGTTCCAGTTAGAACATAAGGATTCAGCAACACATCCCCATTTTGTTCTGTTTTCTGCTGTCCACTTTAGCTAGGTCCACTATTGCCGATAATCTCTCATCTCCTCAGTATCATTTTTGGATGATCCATTAGCCGTTTCCTATTCGGATTCCGCTTTAGGGTGTGGCGCTCGATGTCATTCAACAGCCCCCTCAGCGTTTGCCCAATCTATCTCCACATTCTCGTACATATATTTTTAGCGATGGGCTTTTGATTTGCTTGTTCCCACACTTTCTTGTTGCTAATTCTTCTTGACCATAGAAGGCAGTTGTTGATGAAAGTCTGCAATCTGTTAGAAATCCTTTTAGTTACACGCCAAGTTTCTGACCTATATGAAAGGACTGACTGACTCCATATTTGTGTTGAAAATTTCCAATCTTGTTGTTTAATGCTGAGTAAAGAAGATTTCCAAACTAATTTCAGGTTGATGATGGTGTATCTTGCCTATCAGATTTCGGTTTTGACATCTTCATCCAGGTTCCCCTCTAACTGAAATGATTCTTCTTAGATAAGTGAAGGAATTAACCTATTTCAAATTCCTCCCGTTGATAGAGATTGCTGATGTTTGATATCACTGCTGGTTGGTGGTCTTCATCATCTCCGTCTTCTGTATGTTCACCTGTAGTGCTGTCTAATATATATATATATATATATATATATATATATATATATATATATATATATATATATATATATAACTTTCATTTGAGAAGTTTAATGTTATCATAAATCCTAATATAATTTACTACAACTCAAAAGCATGTATAACAAATAGAATTAATACTAAATAATAATAGTAATAATAATAATGTGTCCTTTGTTAGCATTTCACTCTCACTTTCTCATTCTGTTATCCTCTGTGTAGTAATTCATCAAGTTAGCAGCAAAACAAACATCTCTGGTCACATTCTCCTAATAAAAGTTCTCTCTCTCTCTCTTCAAAGATATTTTAGCTATCACAACAATTTCTCTTACCAATGGAATGAATATCTTATAGCAATATATTTGCGATATAAATAAATCTTAATTTATATTAAATATTTATACATGATGTCAGTTGATTATCACTAAGAAATGTCTCTTCAGTCCAAAGATATATGTATATATATCATTCATCCGTCCGTCCGTCCGTATACGAAATTAGTAACATACAATATTTATTCATCTTAATTGGGATATAAACTAAACAAGAGAATAAATATATAATAAATAAAATAAAGCATAAAACATAATTTGTCTTGTTATTTTTATTCTTTATTTGACATATAATTTTTATTAATTACTAATATTTATTACACTTTAAAGTGCTTCATTTATTTATTTATTTATGTAATTGCCTTCATTGGTTAATTATTTTGACAGAAAGTGTCAACCAATGATAATTTAACGCTGTTATTAGTAGTATCACTATTATTATTATCATTATCATTGTGATCATTATCATTATTATTGTGATTGTTATATTTTTTCTTATCCATTCAAACTGTCTGTAATTATCTCAAGTCATATTAAGAATAATAAACGATATTTTTTATTATATATATATATTTATAAAAAATAAACCTGTGTGTTAATGAGTAAATGTTAAAGTATTTAATGACTGGAAAATTCTTTTATTTTGACCAGAGTAATAAAGAATAAGGTTATATACACAGATATACATATACATATATACATCTCTCGCTCTCTCTCTCTATATATATATATAAGTGAATTTCAGAAATTCATCAGTAATTGTTACGTGTGAACACTTAAAAAAAAATATCTGAACAACAGCAACAATGAATTTGTCTTGGTTTCTTTTTAAACATTTTGTATTCATCATATTTTTCAACTATGCTGTAGCGTATAGAACAAATGCTGCAGTGGGTGAATTTAAACATTACTCTGAAGATTCGTGTGAGTTTTAAAGTTTAAAGAATAGAAGTGATATATTATTACTAATTTTTTTTGATTATTGTAATTATATTCCTTTTGAGTTCCAAATGGGACATAAGGTTTTAAGCTTTACCTTTGACGTTTTAGCAGCGGTGATATATTTTTACAGGTTAGGGGTGTTAGCCTCAAGCTCAGCTTTCCCCATTTTTTCGGAATTATAACTGGCTAAGGAAGATAAAGGTGTGCGCACCGGCCGGAATCAAACCCTGAACCAACTATATAGTTTGCTAGTACTATACCACTGAACCACTAACACAGTCAAGTAATTATTATAATTGAAGTTTTGTTATTCTGTTTCCTCGGTGAAATTTCTTCTGGTATTTAATCACTTCACTTTTTCAGTTAAAATGTAAAAATTCATATCAGAAACTTCATTTAAAAGATAACGCCTTACTGAATCACCCCTGATGAATACGATCCTCATACCTGAGGATGTGAATGCTGAGTTAAAAGTGTTCTTCGAAATGACATTTTATTCAATGAAAAGCTGAATAACATTCTAATTAGCATTTTTTAATTTAGGTTAGAAGTTGATTATTACTTGAATCAATCTGACTCATAATGAAAATACAGTCATGTTAAGATCTGACTAAGATATTAATTCTATACTTACTTATAGAGAGAATTCACAATGAAAAATGAATTTCAATCGTACAAAAATAAATTGATAACACGCTTAAAGAATTAAAACGATTCACTTCTTCCATATCTTCGTATTACCTAAACTCAATATTGTAAATAAACAGTTTAGGTTAGGGGGTTATATAAAATGAGGTAATTTACTATAAAATAAGGAATCGAGAAAGTGTTGAAGTAGAATAACACCACATTAGTTAGAATTCGGAAATTAATTCATTCATCATATTAATGTTATGAAAATACATGGACATCGATAGTGTGAGCATAAATACAATCAGTAGTTTTAACAAGAGCGTTATTTTAACCATCCCTTACATTGAAACCCCTGTTATTCTCTGTGATAACAGTTACGTAAATCAAAATTGTCGGCGAGATGTATGATGTGGCAAAGGTAAAACTAGGCAAACCAAGTAAAATTATGCAGTATTCCTTCACTAGATACAATTTTTATGCTAATAGCTTGTAATTCTGTATCTTAAAAACTCAGTCCAACTGCATAGCATATTTTGCCTAAATAATCTTGAATTTTGTTTCATTCCAGTGTGTTCTGAGTTAAAAATAGGGCTTAAAACTTGAGCTTTAAATATTCAGTGGTAGTGGTCCTTTGTTTAACATGGCAGGATAGCAAAATTCACGTGGAACCTTTTCTGTTTACTGGGCTTGTTACCGGTTAAGTGATGTTTAATTGTACGTTGTCCGCTAATCAAACCCTGATCATGATTGGCCAGAAATCTTCTACTGAGCCACCGATTACTGAATACATAAACAGATTTCTATGCAGACGACACTTTTAAAAATTATGTACACAGCCGAAAGAAATAATCTTCCTTTGTCTCCCATATATCGGTCTGCTTTCATAAGTACTTGTAAATAGTTAGACACAAGAAGAACTTTCACCTACTTCAAACCACTTTACTGTACATTTTTGCATCTCAAAAACTGACCACCATCTTGTATTGGATTTCATGTAAAGTGAAACGTATTTGAATTTCACATGATTTATTTTCATTCTAAAAACACACTTTTGAGATTTCAATGAATTTCACAATACTAATTTTCTCTAATCTTATCATAAGGAATATACCAAATACCTTCACGGATTATTAACATATAGAATTAAAACAAAAGCAATCGGTTCATAAGAGTATTATAAATCTTTATTAGATCAGCTTTCAAGAATCGGTTTTTGTAGGGATTTTATTTGTTTCAGGCTAGACCACGTATTGATATCAGTTAGAGAACCATTTAAAAACAAGAAGGTAGGACTGGACAGTTATTCATACTAGTCTGGGACTCATCGTCAGTACGCACCCCCTGGGGTTCTAAGTCGGCACCCTCTGATTACAAGGCAAGCTCGTATTCCACTCAACCACTAGAACTCGATTCAGTGGCTCATGAATTCTAACGTCTACCAATTCGTGATTTTAATGTGACCACTAATCAGTGTTATCGGCAGGAAACCCATTCTCACACTTGACTGCATAGACCTTACTAGTCACAACGTCTCACTAGAATTCCAAGAAACTCAGTCATGTAGGCAGTCACTAGCCACCATCAGATTAATTTTCATGAGCTAGTGAGTTGGGTCCCAGTGGCTGATGGTATAAGGACTTGCTCTGTAACCAGAAGGTCCTGGGTAAGAAACCCAGTGGGTGCGTACGACAGTTTAGCTCTAATTTTAAGGAAAATGGAACACTTTAATAACTTCCTCTGATGTTAAAGTTTAATATTTTAAATAATTTTATTTCAGAAAATGTGCTCAACAAATTGGTAGTCATGTCTCAGTATGTGTTTCAAGTAGCTGCAATTTTACCGCTATTTGTCTCATTCACTTTACAAAAACAAAATGTGACTATAAATGCAATGAATTCAACATAAGGTTAATTATTTAATTCATCATAAAATATTTTCAGTAAGGAAGATTAGTGTTTCATATAAATAAGTGTTATAATAGAATAATACCAATGAGGGAATGAACATTCTTTCCTCCAAAAACAATAAAATCACCTGCTATTTAATTAGGTCAATCATTGAATTGAGTAGTTTTATGCCTAATAGCATAAATCCATGACTGATGTATTCTTTATAGGTTTATCTAGAAATAGTCTCAAAACCTGACTGATGGTGTTTACCCTCTCTGTTTCTATAAGATTACAAATAAACTAGAATTCCTACACTAAAATTAAAAATATTTCTCTTCAGCCATGAATGATGGCAGATTGGGTTCACTCAAAAAATGTTTATAAAATACGTCAAACAAAAGGAATATACATAATTTATTTATGTGAAAACAACCTTTATATCAAGGTTTGAACTAATTCATACTTAGTTTTTATTCCATCAGTTATTATTATTATTAGTAGTATTACCCCTTTTAAAAAGATTGTTTAAAATAATGTTTATTGTTATTATACGTATTAATATTGTTTATATTAATAAATTATGATACTAAGAATCTCTTATATTGAGCAATTTTGTTTGTGTCTCTTCATTATAAAGTAAGAAGTAAGTAAACATTACCTGTGTATAAACAAACCATGAACAATAAACTGAGCAGCCAAAAATGAAAATGATTCTGTTTCATCATAGACCCAACTTCAAAAGATTATGAACTTACTTCTCTGGACACTTTAAGGAAGCCACAAATTATAATTAACCCTTTTTGATAGCTTTTATAAAAGAGTTTTCAAAGATGTTATATTTATTTTGGATTACATTCCATACATAAAGTTAACAAACTTAATTATGTATATGGTTTTAAGTTCTCTGATAAGTTTTTCACTGGTTAGGTGTCTTCCGTTCTCAACCTTCAAACAAGTTGTTCAGTATACTGGATTTAGAACCTTAATACATGTCAGAGATCCATTTCACTTTTTATTTTTGTGAAGGCTTATGAAAAAAATCTGAGAAATCATCCGTTTAGAGAGTTTCAGTGCATATGGACAGTTGGTGTTTGTTTATAATCAGTAAAGCTAAACACTGCACGTCAGAATTCGTCACTTAAGTGTCAAGTGTAATCAATAAACACAGTAGTAAGATATGGTAGTTCATTGTCTTGAGTGTTTCATTTTAGGAGTTGATCTGCATGAGACAGTGAATGATCCAGATCTTGTTACTTGTAGGTACTCAGTCAGCAAAGGACTATCTAAAAATTTTGAAAACTCATATGCTTTTTTTTAATTGAGGGTAAAAGTCTACAAGCAATTAAAATGAAAAGGATAAATAAAGTCTAAGTGAATTTCTTCATCCTTCATTATTTGTTTCCATAAAGGTGTATATATTACACTACTAAGGACTAGATCGTTGGTGGTACCGCGGTATAATGCTCTCCAACCACGCCTTATGTGGTCCGGGGTTCGAACCACGGCCACCGACGCACTCCTTTACCTCGTTAAGCCAGTAATAAGACTGTTAAAGGGGCAAGGTTTGGCATGAGGCTAGCATCCCCATCCCGTAAAAATAAATACCACTCCTTTCGAAATTTCAAAGCTCTAGCTTGAAGCCCTATGTTCCACTGGGAATGTGAAGGAAAAAATATTTAAAAGGAAATAAAGACTGCTACAATAAGTTTGACTTTTTTATTTACGACAAATTATGACCTTCAGATAACATGTAGCCATATATCAGTAGAACTAGGGAACAAATTTAATGGTTTGATAGTTTTAGACGTATGTAGAAAATTATATTTGTAACAAGATTCCATTTTCAACACCAATGTGAAGTCGGTTCTTCTATACGGGTCAGAAACTTGCACTGCTTGTCACGAAAAGGATTTCCAACCGGTTTCAGACTTTCATCAACATCTGTCTTCGCACCATACTGAAGATCAAATGGCCAGGAAGAATAAGCAACTAGAAATTATGGGAACAAACCAATCAAAAGCCAATTGCTCAACAAATATGTAGGAGAAAGTGAAAATGGACTGGGTATACATTGAGGAGGCCGCCGAATTACATAGCGCATCAGGCGATTGCTCGAGTGAAATCTCGTTGGCAAGTGACAAGTGGGTCTGCCTAGGGTAACATGGAACAGATTATGTGAGGAAGAGATGAGAGAGTTTGGTCAATCGTGGACGCAGATGAAGAGGATGGCAGAAAGCAGAAAAAAGTGGAAATGTGTTGTTAAAGCCCCATGTTCCACTCGGAATCCAAGGGGATAACAGTATATTTGTAAAGTCTCAGAAAAATTGATATCAGTAATTCCAATGTTTTCTTCAGCAGAATAGTTTGAACTTCTTCAGCGAAAGTAGTCGAAATTAAAGTAACAAAGGTTTATGTATAAAGTGGATTTTTTTGTTTTTAAAAACTTTGTCCAATCATATG